AGGAACAGATCTCAACCGAGCGCTGGTTGAGATTTTCACGCCGCTGTCGGTTTTTGAAGAGGTCTATCCGAAAAGGGATAACCACGTCGAGCTACGGTACGGCTCTGACGGCTGGCTGCCGCGAATCTGCGAGTTCCTTCAATATTGTATTGAGAACCTTCAAAACTCAAAACAAGCGAAAGATGCAGCGCTCAAGGCACTGGCGACTCTGAAATCCGTTTTGCTATGGGCCATTCCTAAAGCCATTATTTCCTCAAATTGTGTCCCTGCTATTGCTAGAGCTTTCACTTGCTCAGATGAGCAGGTGTTGTTGGCTGCCGTCGAAGCCCTGCACTCTTTGTATAGCAGATCCAACATGGATATGGAGAGTTTCCAACCTCTTGTACACTTGATGTACGAGACGGAGTGTTTAGATATTATGCAGAAATTATACCAGTGGTCAATTGTGGGGCCAGACGACATGGACGATACCCGATACATGATCTCGAAAAAACTGTCCGAGATGCTATCGTACATCGCAGGATTCCTGGAGGAGAAGGGATTTTCTCTAGAGAGCGCGCGTGGCATGAACCTGCCTTTCTTCTTCCACCTGACAATAAGTGTTATTCAGCATCAGAGCTTGATGGTCTCGATCCCCGTCCTCCACGTGTGGTCCAAACTCTTAGCCTCTGAAAGAATAGGAAACACTGATCTGGTTACCGGTTTGATTCCTTCGCTACTAGAGATCTGCACCCAACGGCTGGTCCGATGGGAGGCCTTACCAACGGATTCCGATGATCCCACAGTAGCATTTTTAACTGACGATATCGATACTATCCCGGAAAGACATGCCTTTGTGGGCAATTATCGCAGATACTGTTCGTCAGTTATCGAAACGATCGTCCAGAAGCGGCCACAGGAAGCCATCCCCCATATTCTGTCAGGCGTCGATACTAATTTGAACAACCTCTACAATGGAGTTGAGCCTTTTAACGGTTTGTTTGGCCTTGGCAACAGTGAAAATTATGGACTAACAATTTAAAACAGCGAAATCGTTCTCAAAGAGCTCAGTTCCCCTGATGCGCGCCGATACACAGTTTGCCGTTGTAGAAGCAACTCTTAAGGGCTATAACAAATGGGTGGCCGCACACGGAAAAATGCCCCAGCAAGATGTAAGTACTGCCAACGTCACCAAATAACATGCTACTGATAAGCAACAGGAGCAAAAACGCAGTGATCTGGAGGGTATCCTGGAGAAATGGGCTTTCTCGCTAATGCAGCGGAGCTTCGAGGTTCGATTGTGCAACTAATAGAAATGACCGAACACCGCATAGCTAACTAGAGATTCAGGACCCGGTTCTCAAGCAAAGAGTCATCAAACTTATCGTTGATATTTCGTCAAAGGCTCTCGATAAGACCCCTAGCTTTGCGCTCAAAGCCCTCGAATACATTCTCATGACCCGCCTTCCTGATCAGCCCGAATTTCCTGTTTACTCTGAAGCTGTGAAGGAACTGCATGGCTTGTCCAGCCATGAGCTCAGGCGTCTCGCAATGCGCTATTCAGAGTATTTCGCCGTGAGTCCAAAACAAATACCTTTTCTGGGAACGCAAGATTAATAAGGTTTGAAGACATTCTACGACGTACTCGAACCGAAAGTCAAGGAGATCAGCTTCGCCAACCGGGTGGATGACAAACTCCAAATGGAGCTTACCTCCATTCTTCTCATAATCATGTATTAACCAAAGCTTTATCGCCGTCCTACATGTCTTTATACTGATCTTGCTAGGCAACGCGCGAATAACGTGGAACCGTATCTACGCCAGTCCCGCTTGGCATCATTTATCGAGCCCATAAGACAGGCTTGGCAAGATGAGGAGTTCAGGCAGATGAGCTCCTCTTTCGAAGGATTCTGCTCTATGCTTGGACTACAGAGCGTCGGACCGTTCATGCAAGCTCAACAAGCCCAGAAGCTGGAGGACTGGGCGTCCGTGCCTCTTGATACCGAGGGTAAGCGGATCCAGGAAGAGATGACTCGAAAGTTCCAGGTAATTCAAATATGAGCCGTGATGGTCTGAAGAGATTCTGATAGTTATGCTAGCAATTGCCTTTGAGAGGCACCAAGACGATGCTTGCTGTCTCTACAGATAAGCTCAAAAAGAGTGAACCAGCGTACGAGCTTGCGTGCAATGTCTGGCATGAGACGATTCCAATTATATTGCCGACATTGCTCGAGCTTGTCAGGTAAAATGATTCAGCATTTGCATCCTAAACCACATAGCTAACCTATCGCACAGTAATGCACATGCCTTCCACAATCCGGCCAACTGGGGCGGTCTGCCCAGTGAGATGCGGGCGGTTGTTGAGCGCATCTTAACCGACAGATTCTGGCAAGCAGGCATATCTACTGGTAGTCGGGATGAGTTCTACGCTAAAATCACCGCTTCGCGGGCATCGCTTGAAGGGTTTGCGTCCTCGGTCAGAGGTAAGATCAGAGCAGTTAGAGAATCCTGCTACTCGATGCTCTACAGCATGAGCAGACTACGAGAGCACTTCTATGGGTTTGCAGAACTTCCAGGGCCTTTGTCTCAAGCTCTATTCAAGGACTCAGCCTGCCTTTCTTCACATCAGTTCTCTGTGCTTCTCAATATCGCGAGATGCTTAATTGACGATTGCCCTGTTCGCTTCCGTGCACAATTCTTGCCTCCGATGCTCTCAACCTTGTTCACCAACATCGATAAAAAGGTTACATCAGAATGGGCTCTGATCGAACAACAGAGAGAGGGTCTTGCCGACGCAGATCTGACTGATGAGATGAAATCCGAAAGTATCCTTCGACAATTGACGTATTCTGCGGTGATCATGGTGGCGAGCCTTCTGGATCCACAGAGAGGGGGTAAGTAACCGCATCCTCATGCCCTGCATCTTCAGCTAATACTTCAATGATAGACCCTGATGAGGAACCTGTGGACCCAAGCGCAGCACATCCCCAACCTGCGCTCTCTGACTCCATACGTCATTTCGTCCTCTCCTCGCCGGAGATCTTTGAGCCTTTGATGCTGTTCTGCACTCATGCGCTTCGTATGCGTGATACCCGATGCTGCAGCATCATTACACGCGTTATCCGATCCATTCTACAGGACTTCGCCCCTCCCAATAACTCTCCAACAACAGTCCAAATTCGTGAATTCATATGCTCCGAGGTTCTTAAAGCATGCATTACATCCGTGCATGAGCCCTACTTTGTCGACATGCAAAAGGATCTTGCCCAGCTTATCTCCTCAATCTGGGTACTCTATGGATCGAGCACGCCTACCCCGCGCTCTGTGATTCTCAGCCTGCCTGGCATGGACGAGCAGAGGGTAGCAATGACAGAAGCGTCCCTCGTTAGATCTACCGCCGCGCGCCAACAGCGAGCTCTCATTCTGGATCTCTTGGAAGGTCTGAGGGGCGTCAGCATCGCCGAGCAAGGAAAGATTCTGGGCTCGCGAGAGGAACGCCGCAAGGCCCGCAGCGCTTTACAGGAAAGATACATGACTGCCGAGATGGAAGGCCAGCAAAACAACAAGGTTGATATTAATGACGGACCGGATCTGACCGGTGTGGCGGACATGTTTGGTTAGAAGGGTTTCCGCGTATATACTGGATAATGACTGCCTCCTTCACTTGCTTCTGTATAGTACGACGGTTCGCGCCATCCCCTTCCGTTGACATGCCCCAATTTCCTTGATATCCGTCATTCTGGCTTTTCTGGACACAAAGATAGAGTACACACCGTTAAAAGCCTTTCATAGAAAGTACCTTTTAGCCATCACAATATATTGATACTGATGACTACACCTGTTCATTCGATGCAGTCCTTACTCTCTGTACTGAATAGATATTGGAACTCTTTTTTAACCCAGTAAAAAAACACATATTGCAAACTAACCACTCTCCTTTAGACGGTATATCTACATCATACAGTGCCCCTTCCAGCTTTCCTATCGTCTTATTGATCTAACAGGCCCCGCACAAAGACTCCGAATTGTGTTGTAACCATAAATCAGGACCCGTCCACCGAGGTGCTCAAGTAAGCATGCAAAGTTAACATAAACGAATCCAAACACATGACAATTGCAATCGCTTATTGAGAGACCTTGGTGGGTGTGTATACGAAAGTAGGGCGGACGAAGCTGTATCAGTCAGTTAATCAGTACATGCAGCAATAATGACACTAGAGGGAGGACTATACCGCTCAGAGTGGTAGACCTGGGACTCGGAGCCCAAGAGCTCCTTCTCGCGGGCCTTGTCGGCGAAGTGACGACGGACCTGGTCGCGGTCCTCTTCGGCCTGGAGGAGAGGGAGGATGTGGAGACGGCCCCAAACCTTTTCGCGGGCAAGCTCACTATATGCAATCAGCCACTGTGCTTCTTTTGCGTTCGATCCGGGTGAGGGGGAAAGCGGTGGGTTACGTACTTTTGTTCGCGGATGCCGTGGAATAGCTTGTAGTAGCCGTAGCCCATTAAGAGGTGCATACCGACGAGGTAGGTGATGGGGCGGAAACCACGGGCGGGGATGTTACGCTGTTGAGCATGTTAGCCAGGGCGTCCTTGAGGCAGGTTCACGCCGGCAATGGGGCGTGATAACTGATGCGATTCAAGTAGACATTTGGGCCGATGATTCCAGGGCAATTGAACACCCATGCGGGAAAATCGGACATGCTGCACATACCTTGTATTGAACTGGCCCGTAGCCCCCAACGGGGGGCATATCCTGAGGCATTTTGACGACTGACGGACACAGCAGCCTTCAATGTAATCTTGGGATATCCGTAGGGAAGATCCGCCGATGATGCTCGACGAAGTTGGAGTGGTGGTCACGTGCGACGGCTTTGGTTTGGTAATGCGGGCTGCGCTGTCGCTCATTGGTTGCTGGGCATTTTTTGGTGCTTGTTCCCGGAGCTTGGAGTTCTCTTTAGTTTTGAGAAATTACGATTCACCGCGACAGGATAATCTATTTGGTTTGACGCTGATATCGCACAATGGAGGACGACGAAAGGCCTAGGAAGTACCCCAAATTGAGTAATGACGACGGACAGGAGGATCCGGAGCCTACAATGACTGGAGCTGTGGGATCTGTTCCCCACGAGGACGCCGCCCAGCCCACTACGCAGAATGATGTCGCAACAGCAGCGAATGGTGCCGATGACAAGCCAAAGGCTGGACAGCAAACTGTGGATGAAAGCAAAGAGGATGCGCCCAAAATATCGAAGAGGCAATTGAAGAAACTCCGTCGCAGAGAACAGTGGGACGCGCAGAAGGATCAGCGCAGGACTCAACGCAAAGAAAAGACGGCCGCAAGGAAACAGCGCAGGCGCGAGGCATTGAAAGAGGCAAGAGAGGAAGGTGGCCAAGAAGCAGTAGACCAGCTTCTTCAGACCTGGCAGCCAAATCGGCAAAAGTTCAAGCAATCGACTTTGTTGCCGATCACTCTTGTTGTGGACTGTGGCTACGACGACTTGATGCTTGAGAAGGAACGGATTTCCCTTTCATCACAACTTACGCGCTCGTACTCCGATAATCGGGGAGCGCCCTACCGTACTCACATGGTGTTCTCTTCCTTCAATAAATTACTCAAGGAGCGTTTCGACACAACCCTAGCAAAGTCATATAATAATTGGAAGGGAATCCGCTTCATGGACGAAGATTTTGCGCATGCTGCAGAACAGGCAAAGGAATGGATGAAGGAGCCCAATGGAGGTCAGTTGGCGGGCATGTTTGCTAACCAGACGGACGCAGCGCCTGAAGACGGAGAGATTGTGTACCTCAGCAGTGACAGCCCAAACACGCTGACAGAACTAAAGCCATACAGTACCTACATAGTCGGAGGACTGGTGGACAAGAACCGTCACAAAGCAATTTGCTACAAAACGGCAGTGGAAAAGGGAATCAAAACCGCTAAATTGCCTATTGGGGATTACATTCAAATGGCCTCGCGCCAAATATTGGCGACCAACCACGTTGTGGAGATTATGATCCGATGGCTGGAACTCGGCGATTGGGGTGAAGCTTTCATGAAAGTTATTCCTCGGAGAAAGGGTGGTACACTGAAGGATTCGGGGCGAGCTTCTGAAGATCCATCGCAGGAAGGCGATGTTGCCGAAGCTGACTCGGATGAAGAAGCGGAAGCTGCTGAACCAGAAGATGAAGCTGCTGAACTACAAGCTGAAGCTACTGCTCCTAGTACCAATCCTTGATACCATATAGACAAAAAACAATCTTAATGAACCTTATGTTCAGTCGACAGTATTGTACATAGCACAGTACTATACAAGCACGTGACTAGATGACACGTTCCAGCCACATGGTCGTAGCGCCACAGCGCCACAGCGGTTGCCACTGACGATCGATGACGGAAGATCAACACAAACAACTTTTCCTTCGTTTTTTACCAAACAAGACCAGCAGTTCTGGAGATCAGAGAGCCTCCCTTGCTTTGGTGAATATCGCGGCACTGTCATTTGTATCGTCAGCTGCTTGGTGATGGTCCTCTCCTCCTAGTATCATCTCGGTTTTTCTTTTTTCATCTTCTTTTTTCCCTTCATAGTCGTCCTCTTCTCCACCACATCTTATCTGACTTCCTACCGAACCCCTGTTCTTTTCCACTCCTGGAGTAAACAGCCGCTGTTGCTCAGACAGCCAGAGATCGCAGCCATGTTTATGATCCGCAACGGTATGAGCTTACTTTTCCTTCCTCCACCTCCCTTTTATTCTGCCCCTCTTTTAATCTCCAATCTTTATTACCCCGCCATCCACCCCTCCTTCACTTTATTACCTCCCTATCATTTCACTTTCCCTTGACATCCCTATCTGACACTAACGCGTTATCCCTTGGCTTCTAGTGAGCAAGTTTCTCTTCGGGGATACTTCCAAAGAGTCTATCATCGAGATCCCTCAGGGGGAGCTTTATCTAGTCCGGCCTCTGTCACCCAAGGGCTACTCGGAACTAATCTTCAAGGACGCGGCCGCGTCGATCCGACGTACCGGACAGGAGTATCAATATCAACTTGTGATCCAGAGAGCTTACGAGGAGGGTGAGGAAGAACTAAGCGCCGACGAAGACGAGCAAGGCGGCGTGGATAACTTCGACAAGGACGAGAAGATCTTCCTTCTTGACGAGGCTTTGCACTTCCGTACTGAAGTCCGCGAAGGGGGCGCTAAGGTTCTTGCTTGGAGAGACCTGAGCGGTGATATCGGCGACCTGTACGAGTTCGTTTGCGACCCGTCTGTACCGTCGGATAAGATCCCTACTTTTGAGCTGGCTGCCTTCCAGTGCCAGTACGAGCGGAAATACAGACAAAGTGCCCAAAAAGCAACCGAGCAGGATCTTCAGCAGTTCTCGTACCAAGAGGAGAAGCCCATCCCCTCTGCGAGCCCCATCTCATCACCAACCAAGTCTCGCGCTCACTCGCTTACTTCCGGAGAGTCAGCCGCCGCGATGGCCAAGGATGTTGAATATCAGAAGTCGAAAGGACAGATCAAGCCAGCTGACAATGGAGAGGAGCCCACTGTGGCACCGCCATCGGCTGTGCAGCCTGAAGCTACGGAAGTTCTTGCAAAGGAAAAGGCTGAGCTGCATATGTTTGACTTCCCAAGTGGAACATTCGTTATCCAAGACGCTGATGTGACTGCCACTGTGTCCGAGGTCGGTAACTGGCAGTATTGGCTTCAAATCAGCGGAACTGAGAAGGAATGGCTTGGACAGGCTGTTGTCGCGGATATTAACCCTGTCTTTAACTTTGAATATCTTTCCTTCATCTTCAACCACTACGCTGAGGATGGGTCCGCATACTCTTGGCTTTTACGCTTCAAAGACCAAGAGACTGAGGAACGCTTCCAGGAGGGTTTGATGCAAGCGCTCTGGGAACAACTGAACGAGATGAAATGGGTCAAGGTGAAGGAGGACGACCGGGAATATGTTTTGGATGCGTTCCAGGACCTTACCATGGAGGACGCAGCCGACAACCAGGAGGAGGAAGAAGAGGAAGAAGAAGAAGAGGAAGATCAGTACGACGGTCAACGCAGTGAACACTATGACAGTGATGAAGAAGAGGATGATGTGGTTACACACGATGATGACGGTAATGTCAACTCGCAACTTGCAGTCGGCTACAAGCACGATAGATCGTTTGTTGTCCGTGGTTCCAAGATTGGTGTCTTCAAACACACGCCAGACAACAACCTTGAGTTCTCTACCACTATCTCCAAGGTGGAGACACCAAACGGCAAGCTGTTCAGCCCCAAGAAGGTTATGTTGCATGCCGAGGACTCCAACATGGTTCTTCAAAACGGGGATGACCCTAACTCTCTCTATCGCATGGACCTGGAGTATGGTAAGATTGTCGACGAGTGGAAGGTTCATGACGATATTCCCGTCAACACATTTGCACCAGAAACCGTAAGTCTAACAAACATCAAATGAGTACATCTGAAGCTTTGCTAACTGTGACAGAAATTTTCCCAAATGACCAATGCTCAAACCTTCGTCGGAGCCTCTCAGAATGCGCTCTACCGCATTGATCCCCGTCTGGCAGGCAACAAACTTGTCGATGCGGATCTGAAGCAGTATGCTAGCAAGAACGACTTCTCGTCCGTGGCCACGACTGAAAAGGGATACATCGCGGTCGCCTCGAACAAGGGAGATATTCGCATGTTCGACCGCCTGGGAATCAACGCGAAGACCCATATTCCTGCGCTTGGCGAACCTATCATTGGTCTAGATGTGTCCGCCGATGGCCGCTGGGTTCTGGCTACATGCCGTACCTACCTTCTTCTCATTGACTCGCTGCAGAAGGAAGGCAAGAATGAAGGCAAGCTTGGTTTTGAGCGTTCATTCGGCAAAGACGCTAAACCCCAACCTCGTCGTCTTGGTCTCCAGCCGGCACATGTCGCACAGTTCCAACATGAAACCAAGAAGCCTCTCGCTTTCACCCAAGCTCGTTTCAATACGGGTGTTGATTCACAAGAGACGTCGATTGTTACGGCAACGGGTCCTTTCATCGTCACATGGAGCTTGAAGAAGGTGCTTGCTGGGCGCAAGGATCCCTATACGATCAAACGGTACTCTGAAGAGGTTATGGCAGACAACTTCCGATTCGGCTCTGACAAGAACGTCATCGTCGCCTTGCCAAACGAGGTCAACATGGTTGCCAAGAGAGCTCTCCAGAAACCCACTCGCGAGAGCATCGCAGGGCCCCCAGTCACCCCAAGCCGTCGCAGCACCCGGTGGGGCAGCCGTTTGGGACGAGATGATATTGTCAACTCTCCATACTAACGTCCGGCCCCGTTCTCTAGTCAAGTGACTTTGACTTATTTCATTACCTCGTTTTTCTTTTCTTGTACACTGCATACCCCCTTTTGTCTTCCTTTTGCTTGTTTATTGCCTTTCCCCCCCCCTCCTTTAATAATTTCTAGACGTTCTTGCACCACTTCTATGATCTTCTTATGCAATTTCCGATACGATAAACCATGGACGATCTTTCTCCTGAGGGCGATATGGTAGCTTACCAAAGAGATGGAAAGGGTGGGATTGAATGATGGTCTTTGCAATCTCGAGATAAATCTCTAGTAATACTTGAGTACGAATTATGAATTCTGAACGACATCTCTCCAGTAATGAGTGCTATAAATATTCAGGAATCGCCGACCACTTTACGTATGTGAAGTATGTATCGCTCATGAAGTAGCATAAACTTTTCTCTTTCCTATCAACCTGGAAACTGTAAGATTCAACAACAGTGCATAACACGATGAGACCAGCCACACCGTGCACGGGTATTATAAGTAGATAGATATATCCAAACGGCTCGACAAAGACCGGCTAACTGACGTACTAAACAAGGCACCCAAGTCCAACATACACCACAATCCACCAAGATACTCCACCTGCATTACATCCAAAGATGGACTCAACCAACGAATTCTCACGAACCGACATACCATACTTCGACACCAAGGATATCAAATTTGACGCCTTCATCTGACAGGGGTTCGTTGCCGAATGTCTGGCACCCGGCACTCACGCCCTTTTCCAGGCTCGAGTCAACCCACAGACCATAATGGCCATCTCTGCTTCGTTATTAGTTATCATAAACAATTGCTGCCGGGATTCAGAAGGAATGCGCTTACCCTCCACCTAAGCTGAGAAATCCCGTTTCACAGAACATCATATAATCGTTCACTCCGCTGTATGGGAACGCCTTAAACCGGATTCTCTCTGGAGTACTGGCGCCGCTAGTACGCCCGCTAGTTGCTGGAGGTGCCAACTTAGCATCCCTCGCCCGCAGGGTCGTGGATCGACCAGCATGCGTGGTATCAGCGCTCGGTGGAAGGGGCAGACCGGCGAGTTCGAGCATGTCCTCCGATGGGGGCCCGTCGCGGGGCAGGTTCAGGTTCGCAGGGGAAGTCAGAACGCTTGCGCGCCAGAGGAAACATTCGCCCGTGCCGTAGTAATGAGAGTCTGGATGCGGGGGGTCGGTCATGTAAGCACCGAACACGGCGCCGGAGGGAGAAGAGTCGCGGATGATGAGAACGTAGCCCGCCCGCGGGCTACGGTGAGATATGTCTCGACAGTTTTCATAGAGAGTGGCGAGCGAGGCGCCGTCCCGGTCCAGGCTGTAGCTAGACGCCAGGTGTCGACGAGTTGCAGGCGGGCTGGGACTAGCAGCCGGATTTCCTCGGCCAGGGCGCGAGTTAGGAGCTGTTGTTCGAGATTGGAGGGGTCGCCGGTGAGGGTGAGGGGAGTGAGCGGCGGGGGCTGGAAAGGTGATGCGGTTCGAACGGGGGTGAAGACCTGAGATGAGGTGATGGAGTCGTTTGGGGTGGTCATGGAGGAGGATTGATTGCGGTTCATGTTCTTTGATTTCGAAGCTGGTGGGTCGGTGAGGCGACGGTACAGGCCTGATACGACATGTGTGACGGGGTAGGAGAAGTAGGATGCAGTCGATTGATGAATCTGGGAGTTCGATTGTCGAGAGCGAGATGCGGATCTCGAGCTGGAGGCGGAGGAAGACATGCGTGCGGCAGGGACGGGACGGAGGGACGGAGGAGGAGCTCACGGATCCAGGGAACGAAACTGCCCAGGCATTCAATTGGCTACCACGGAGCTGCAGAAGAAGGCTCAAGTCAAAATGACGCGACGTGGAGACGCTGGAGAAGCTGTGAGAGGAGATTGAAATCAAGATAACAAATGATCGTTTGAGTTTAGTTCCTTTCGGGTCACGGGTGGGGTGATGCCCTGCCTCATAGGGCGGCGCATTTCAAATCACTTGGATTTGTGTCTCTCTTACAATGCTACAGCACAATTCTCCTAGTACATCCAAAGCTATCTATGCTGCCCACAGATTTCGAATTACAGAGCAAGAGATGGGATATCCGACAAAATTAAAATAAAATGAGAAACTCTAGAAAGTGGCATAGTACGCTCTCATAAATCGTGAAATGGCAGCCATCGTTAGATTTAGGATCCGTTCGGACGTAGATCCACAGTCTCGAATTCAAGCCCCTTGGCTTCAAACACATGCCCCGGTCGTAGCGCATCGGTGTAGATATTGGGCTCAGCGTGTGGGTGAAACAACCCGGGCTGCGTACAGTTGAGGACCGTCTTGAGCCCGGGCGGGTCGGTCAATCGGAAAACGCCCCAGTCCGGCATTTTGCTCGGAGCGCAGACGATCGCAATGCTCTCGGGCAGCATCACTTGGTATCCAGAGTGCGTATGCAGATCTCTCGAGCTCATGAAGCAAGTTTGCGTCGGGTGGGTATGAATCCAGCCGAGGATCATCAAGTCCTCCGAGTCGCAGTATTCAAATATTGCAGTCTCGTTCACCGTTTCACACGTGTCCGATGTGGCGGTTTGTTCGGGGATGAGAAGCCGGGAGACGAACAGAGCGTTGGATATCAAGGTCCCACAAAGTATACCACATGTTTCCAGATTGCGTCGTGTGTTCGAAGCTGCTAGCGACAGGAACGTGGATCGTAGCTCTGGGGGTAGGAAAACCGTCCGGAGAGGGGTACCATTCTCCAGGTAGGCGGCCGGTTTGAAGGTGAAGCTGGATGGGTCCAGGTTTGAACGGCCATCCCCACCATCCGCGACTGGCTTGACTTTCGCCGGAGGGGCTGGAGCTTGTGTTTGAGCTGCGGATGTCAGGGGTACCGCGGAGATCTTGTCCGGTCTTGGGGGCGGCGATGGCCCATCTAAGACCACTGGCTGGAGAGGCTCAAATCGTTCCTTTGGAGGCCGCATCGGGGCCGCTGGTAAGGACATCGTCGCATCTCTCGCTCCGTTGGTCACGGAGGGCGCAATATCTAGCGCCTTCTGGCGAGGCACTGTTGGGTACTTATACGTGGACGAACCGGATCCTGGAGTCAACGGCCGCGCCGTGGATTCTGTTGCCTTCTTTTGACGGTCCGCATCGTGCGCATGGTCCATGTTGATCCTGACATCTTGTATCCGTCGACTCAGGTCATTGTCCGTATCTGTGCCCTTCTTGTCCAAAGCGCCCTCCCAGTCACCCCAGATACCTGCGGGGCGCCGACGCTGCTCCTCTTTGGGTGCTATTCCAGCTTGGCGTACAGTTCTCCTAGCTGTGGCCCTCCGGTTGATTTCCGTCCTCGCTAGTTTAACAGCCAGGTCTCGGTTCTCGCCAGCCTCCAGAGGCGTGGCAACACCTACCAATGCGGGATGCTGAGGCTGCTGCTGGTTGGGCCCGGTCTGGTTCGTTCCTAAGGGCGGGCTTCGAGCTTGGCGATCATTCATCAACTCGGTATAGCGTTTATATCGTTTATTGATTCGAGGTCTGAGGATTTCCAACTTCTTGAGATTCCTGTTGACATCCTTGTTTGCTTCCATCAGAGCTTTCCGATTCTGCTCATTTTTGGCTTCCGAATGTTTTGCCAGGTTCTCGAGAACCAACTGGGCATGGCGAAACAATAGGCAGTACGCTTGTTCATCGTCTCCCTCGCGTTCGTAAATACAGGCCTGTAAAGGGGACTGCTAGTTAGCCCTCGGAGATTCAACGGAGTCGGTAGCATCAAACTGACCTCTCTCAGTAAATTCGTGGCGGTCCGTAGCCAAAACCGCAGCGGAATCGAGGGGTTGTATTCATAGTTCTGCGCCTCTCGGGCAATATCCTCGACCTTTCGAGGGGCTGAGACCCCCGCGCCTGTGGCCGGAGGCATATGCGAGGCCATGGTTGCGCATACGACGTGAGCGTGCGTGAAGAAATTCAGTAGTATAAGTTCCGATAACCTGAAATGTCCGGTTTCCAAGCGACTCGTTCGATCATAAGGTGCAACGAGGGATCATCGAGGTCTGCCGCCACGGCGTGTGGGGACGTTCCGCATCGACGGAGCAGGCAGCCGGACTCTGCAAAAACCTTGGAGGAAATCGATATAAATTATAAGCACTTATAGATCTGTTGGATAATGATCGATCGATCAGAATGAGAATTGTGCTGTAAAAACAGCCGGTCCCAGAGGCTGGAACATGCTTTGCAAAAGGCTGTGAGCGAGTCGAAACAATGAGACAAACAGATGAAAAGTGATTTTGAGCTCATTGAATTTATTTGAATTTAAGAAGAAAAATAAACTGCGGGTCCTTTTCCTCTTTGGTCTCCGTTCCCGCCGCAGTTCTTGAAAGCTTCAACTCCAACTTTTTCCATTGCGATTGACTCGCTAGAGGCAAAAGTACTATCTAGACCAATGATGGAGAGTCGGTGTGGCTACCATACGACATCCCTGACCTGCACTTAAGATGAAATTCAATCGATGGACGCCCATTCCCCATGTTCCCTTAACAAAGGCGCTTTATAAATGCTTCCCTTTAACCGCAAAGAGGAAATCCATTCGGAAGGCAGAAATAGCAAGTGAAAAACTATGCGGTGAGTTACTACTCAAGACCAATTGTTATACAGAAGGAGACTCTAATGCGTCGGGCTTCTGAAATAGACGATGCTCTTCAACGCCTATCACCCTTCCTCCTTCGCAACCCTGCCGTGGACATTCTCGACCTATGGCCCGGCGCTGGACTATGGTCTTCGAAGATCAATCAACTCCTCAAACCCCGCCGGCATGTCCTTATAGAACCTGATTTGAGCCTATACAAGCCATTGCTCCAGCCATTGGCAGAAACCAACCCCAGCTATGAACTACTGTCTGCAGACATCCATGCTATTGCGGATTGGCAAAGTATACTATCGAAGCATTTCCCGGAGCAGGGACCATCGAACCGTGACGACAGCGGCATTTTGCCCAGGAACGATACACTCCTTGTCTTAGCCAACCTGCCTCCAGTTGGCTCAAAAAAGGACCACTATACCCCAGCACGCTGGTGGTCGGTTTTCATGGAGGCTTGTATGCACCAGACGGGATTACATTCTTACGGAAGCGTGCGTATGATCGCTTCGCTCCCCATCTCAGATGCACAACAGGTCGTTCCGCGAACCATCATCGAGCGCAAACGACCGGCATTGTGGACCGAGAACGTCGCATTGCATGCATTCGAAGTCGCGGCTCCAAGGGACCCCAGTACATGGACTTTTCTGAAGGGATGGGATTTGGCGGCGGACAATGCCTCGCGCGTTGCTCAGAGAGCCGCAGAGAAGGGGGTTACCACACCTCCCGGCAGAGAACTACCACCCATCCCCATGGCGCCAAAAAGTCCTGACCCGGGCAGATTGCCTGTGCCTTACGTGCCGCGCCCTTTTACCGACTGGCATGAGAAAGTTTGGAAGAAGATAACTACCGGCGCGCCTGGCAAGGACGGCAAAATGAATCCAGTACAACAACGGGGCTGGATCCAACTGAACAAAGAGAATCGCGACATGTATTACCGCGTGCGTCAGGCGAACGGTATTGCCGAAATTGACGAACTGACAGCCACGCTATCACGGACAGCGGCAAACACTCGCAAGACTTCGGCGGCACTGAGGCCCATTTTGAAAAAGATCCAGGCCGCCAAGTCTCGCTTGGAGCAGGGAGTGTCGGAAGTACACTACTCAGTCAGGAATGAAGTTCCCGTCATCGTTGACAACAAGCGAGCGGCTCTGCAGACCGGAGACTTTGACGATGCAATCCTCCACTGGGACCGGCGCCCCTTTGAACCATTGCTCATCAATCCCGACGAGCTCTACCCCCGAGAGACCGAGCGAAGCATCCTTTACTTCGAGGCCGACCCGAACCCGCAAGCCGTGCAGAAACTCAACCAGCTGGATCCGCCGCAAAGAGACGCCCCTCTTCGCCTCTTCGAAGCCCTCTCTCTCACCATCGGCACCCGTAGCCTTCTGACTGTCGCCGAGCTTCTGGAGCTGATCTTCCCCGGACGACCCATCAACGAGATCGTCAAGGTCATCCCCGGCCTAGCCGTCCTCGCAGCAAAGACCCCCAAGCCAGACTACGACAATCTGCCGAAGACCATGCACGGTTCCCCCGGGGCCCCCGAACCCCTCAACCCCGTCGCATGCTACCAGGAGAACCTAGACTACGACCTCAGCGACGTCCGAGTGCGGACTCTGCCGACCAGCACACTGTGGATATCTTCGTCGAGTACCAGAGGAAGGGCGATACCAGCCTCTCCACGGTGCAACTGAGTCGACTGCTCGGCGGGACGTTGACGTCCTTCCGGACCGGCGAACTCGAACTTCGGAAGAGATACCATTAGCATGTCGGCCTCGTTTGGTATCGCCCACATCCACTCTACTCACCTACTACTCTACTCACCGTCCCCTTCGTGCGGGGGGACTTTATACCCATATCTTCGGGATGTATACTATGTTTTATGAGCTGTGTCTCTTTGTACTATACTGTAACGGTTACGATCTATAGACATATGTGCCTACATAGTCACTTTTGATAGACTATCCATATACTAGAATTTTGCATCTTTTCACATATTGTACTAGTTTTACTACATATCTTGTATTGATTTTTACTGTGCAGCTTGCGGGTTAACGTTCGAATTGATATTGTAATACATGACAAGAAGTGAAAGCATTGGACCGTATTGGAGAAACAGATTCTCTTTGATATTGAGATGGTCTAGAACGAAAAACATGCTGAACATCCACACGTCGAAACATGACAGTCAAATTGGGTATCATTTAGTAGTTTATTGTGAGAGAAGAAAGAAAATATGGGGAAAGAAGAAAAGGACAAGAATAGTAAGATAACAGTAAGATATTGAGACCCTTTGGAAGAAAATAGAATAGAAGAAGGGTCAAAGAAGAGATAGATGAAACAGTTCCAAGTGGTTCATAAATAGGGTGAAATCGAACGGTATATAAGAGTGGACAAAAGTAGATGGAGAATATGTTGTCCAAATGGGTTGAATCGAAAGTGGTCGGCCATTTGGGATGAGATCTTAGGCCATAGCAGCGATTAATTCTACCCATTCATTGGGTTGAATCCGCTGAGATGGGTCCTTCGAAACGGCTGGTTTGATCACCTGTTCGACAGGTCCGTTACGAGGGACCCGGGAACCATTAGCGCCCGACTGGGCAAAGTCAATAACCCGGTGGCCTTCACGGGCCATGGCAAGGCGCTGCATGTTGCTGGCGCCAGGATAAAGCAGCAGATCACCTGTCGCCGCCGCGAGGAGGGTGACCGCCAGAGAAAACACATCGGATGCGGGCGTGGGACTAGTGCCCGGGGACCTCAGAGATGACACAGATAACAGTTCGGGGGCGGCGAAAGGTGGTGTCAAAGCCGTTAATGACGTTCCGGTCTCTTTCTCTGCAGACAGTGAAGAGCCGGTGATGTTATGTGCGGAGGAGAAATCGGCGAAAAGCGGTTCAAACGGGAATTCGTCGGATTCTATATCGTTGCCCGTCGGCCGTGATCTCAACAAGATGTTATGTGGTTTGATGTCCCCGTGCACTATTCGACACTGCGTGTGGAGCCAGTGTAAGCTGGTTATAAGCTTCTTGGCAAGCTCTTGCCACTGGGGCATGCCTTGCACAGGATCGAACATCGTCCTAGTGGACTTGTGCTTCTGGGCCAGGTCGGCCTTTTCTTCGATGTATGATGAAAGAGAGAGGGGCACGGCCGACATAACTATAGAATGTGATTCGGAGATGTACCCATGGAAAGGAATGACATGGCGTTCCGAACCCGGCATACGACTAATTCGAGTCAATGCTAACGCTTCGGCATCAAGGACGGCGTGCGCATCTCGCCGGACAGGAGATTTAACCGCTACCACCCGACCTCCACTCGCAGGTGAACTGGGAGGGGTCATCAGGGGTGATTTCGAAGAGGGGCGAGACGAAGCTTTGTAGACGACACTCCAAACACCACGACCAAACTCAACCGGGCGACCTTTCGGGTCATATTGAAACTCTAGCTCATCGGAATATTGAAGAGGGCTCGAGGGACGCACATCAGCCGCAAAGAGATCTGTTGGCTTTTCTCCTTCGGAGGCAAACGAGCTTGAGCGACCTGATCCGACTGTCCTCGTACCACTTGAGTAATTGTCATCGCCCTTGGTGGGGGTGACTGGAGGGGTCAGTCCCGGCACCACTGTTAGTGGTGTCACGGGTGAGGCCTTGTCATCTTGGTTTTCGGTGCGGATTGAGAGTCGTATAGGAATATGAGCAGCCATTATGAAAATATCCGGGGTGGGTAGAGGTTGATCCTGGGGATCAAGCACCTTACGTAGAGGGTAAGGTGCGCGAAGAAAGTAAGTGTATGAATCAGATAGATGCAAGATCAAGTCACGTCTTGCTTTGAATTAACTCTTAATAGATGTCGACTTGAAGGTTGAGTATATATTGATAGGTGTAGATCAGTGTCTAGATCAAGAAAGGATCTAGAAATTCAGGACTGGACAGTGGTATATAAAGGCCGGTGGCAACGGTTGCGTACGGGTGATGTCCGGAGCCAAAGATTGGTTCGGAGGAATGAATGAGTCAAGCACTGGTCAGAGATTACTCGCAATCGAGGTAATATATAGGGTCAGATAAAGATAACGAAATGATGGGAACGGCACACTAAGCATAAGCATAGTGGGATTAGAGATTAAAGATAAGAGGAAAAAGAAATCGACGATAGATCTAGACAGAGGGGAGAAATGACTGGTATTTAGTCTGGACCCCAACGGAATTTTTTTCAAGGTTCAATACAAAGAAACCAACAGAACCGGAAAAATAACAATAACAATAAAATAAAAAAAAAAAGTGGACGATCGACAGATAGCTTAAATTATTCTGGAGGAACCGTGGATGAAACAGGGCCTCAACTACGACTGTTGTAGGTTACAGTGACATACAGTGCGCTGATCATTTCCTCCCTGCTCTCCCCACATGGTTCTTCATTGTTGCTTCTTGACAGCGCGAACAGATTCAGACGTCGTGCGATCCTTTCGACTGCACGTCGGAAAACTACTCATCCTTGGGACAGTGGCACCACTCCTCGGGGATCTCAATCTCATGATAATCGAGTATTCCCAGATTGTGGTCATCCCTTTCACGCGGTATCTCCTGTGCGTCTCCTTTCATTTGTTAATTGTATGCCATACATAGTGTAACGGCCCCCGAGCGTGGCACCAAACTCTTCCGGGAAGTCCTGCAGCTTCCATCACGGACACTATGCCCAACTGAGCTTTAGTCTCCTGCACGAACTGTTCGGCTGCCTGGATTAAGGAAACCGGTGGATATCATCCTATCGCATCGCTTGCATTTCATCTCCGCCCTTAATTAATATTGACGCCGTTCCGTCGGCGAACTGAACGTCACAATTTCTACGTGCTCTTCGGAGAAGGCCCGGGTGTTTTGATGTGTAAACTAGAAAAATTCGATCGAATGGCCGAGTCAGCAGGGCGAAGCGGACGAAGACCCCGATTACGTGGCATGCAGTCAGGTGACCCATCAGGAATGAACGCCCCTCTTTCTCTCTCGTCCCATGCTCCTCTTTTTTTTATTTGATCTTATCTTGAAAATTGATGCACACCCTGGTCCATACATGCCAGGATTTCCCTGGCTTCATGTGGTGCGCGCGAATAATGCCAGGACCAATGCAGCGCCTTCCTTGTTGTCTGCAGAGTACTACTAGTACTAGAGTATCCATGCCAACATTCCTTCGTTTCCGGTTTGGTCCTATTCTTGGACAACAATCTACCGAAACGGAAGTTCTGACGCCGGAAGAATAGCCATTGTTCTCGTGGAGTGACGGAAGCGCTGTGGGTGGGAGAAGTTGTATGAAACGGTAACACCGGTGCAGGTGTTCTGAACCAATCTCCACCCCCACGTGGGTCCTCATCTGCCAGGGAAATTGCACTCTCAATAGTCCGCCCCACTCGTCCATCTTGGGATTTTCCTTTCCAGCAGCAAGTATCCCGAGTACAAACTTACCGGAACCGCAGGAATTCATTTGAAGACAATGTAAGGGAGCACAGGATTGGCCCAATCTAGCAGAGACCATTGCTTTATCTACCAAGGACTACAACTACTCCTACGAGTTAGTAGACGCGGGGTATCAACTTATGTTCTGCAGTGAGCTGGAGCCTGGGGTTCTCAGGCAATGATATGACGTAACCGACATACTCTCCAGCCATTGAATAGCCTCATGCGTCATGCTTGGGGACCTTCTTTCCCTGAATGGTCTTGTGCTTGGCTCTTATGAGGTTTTACTAATACGCAATCATGGAGTACATCTTATTAGGCAATATCATATCTCTGTACGTTACCGATACACTCATCTCGTTTTCTAAATCATCCGTTGTCAGTTGATTATTTCCCATGTGAATTTTCATTTTGTATACTTGACAACCCCACAATTGTTTTCTCCTATGCCTCTTTGGGATGGTGCCCGACAAAGTCCCGGAGGTTTGTATAGCAATCTAAATATTCAATATATCGCCAGATAGTACAGGCTCTCACCTTAACATTGAGTGCAACTCCAGTCAACATGTATCGACTTCAACTACGACCCTGTCAGTAACGATTGGAATAATCTCACAAACGCGCTCAACTTCCTTTTCGACCTACCATCAAAGGCAATAGCGGCGACTCAATCTGGCAACGATTGTACATACAGGCAAGGCGTAAAGAATACAGAAATCGAACTCTTCCTATTTATTGTGAATTGTCTGAAAGCACTGTCTCAGACATACATTCCACAATATGGAATACGTCTATCCTGAGTTCATGAGCCGAAGCACTAAATCTGCCCTTCGATGCCGCAAGACCACTTCGTCCCTGTTTGACCCAGAGTATCATTCGTTGCATGGGCAACCTGCGTCCGGCTTGAAAAGGTAGTATGTATACATGCAGGGCGCAGCAAGGCGGTTGGTAACTCCTTTGCTGTCATACTTCTTCACAATCACACTTTTTGTACTTATCTATAAATAGGTTTTTAGCGTTTGTACCAAGAACCAATACAATAAACCTATACAGATGATCAATTACATTTAGAAAAGAAGAATGATCTTCAGACATCGACTAAACCGGGGTATTACGAGCGGAATAATGGTGCTCTTTCTTCCATTCGCCCTGGATAGTTCTCGAATTCACGGAACACGGCAAAGATATAGCCAATACAAATAACCGGGTATCAAGAAACAATCACAACTTAATTGTCCGTTTTCTGTCCTTCAACATACTGTTTCAGATCCTGTACCCACGTCTCAAAGTTCTTTTTCAACTGTGCCCCAAACATCCACCGAACCACATACACAAGATACCCAACCTGCGCCTCCCAATTCCGCACCTCGGTGACACGCTTCGTCTGCCCGCCTTCTTCCTGGACATCATACTCCTCGAGCTCATGAACCCTCTCCGCCGTCAAAAGGAACGCCGGCATGCTCCCCTTGGCCGTTAGATCCGCAACCCAGACAATGCGGCCAGGCTTAGGGGGGTTGGCACTTGGGGGCTCAAACTCAGCCACGACGAGGCCCACATCTTGCTCGCTGGCCGATGATGGATCCATATGGACATGGAAGGTCATTTTTGTTCCCATCTGGAGCTTCGGGGAAAGACCATCAGTAGATTGGGAGTCGGAGCCCGGCTGTTCGCGAATGGTGACTCGTGGAACAAATGTATTCCACGAGGGCCAGGTGGAGGTATCAATTAGGACATCCCAGACATCTTGGCAGGGGGCGGCGATCGTCGTGGCGCTCTCGATATGCAGCACTGCATCTGAGGCGGAAATGCTTGGGGTTGATTTGGACGCTAGTGTCGCGGCAGATGAGGGTGGGGCGGATGTCATTTTTTAAGGAATTATTTTGTTGGTGTGTATAGTAGAAGTTGTTATAGGAGCTATCATGGATGTTTGTTTGTGGTGACATTTGAAGGGAATTAACTGGTTGTTATAAGCTTTGACTCCGCCGGCGTACGCCGCAAGATAGCCGAGCCCCAGTGACCTCATCTGACATCCGCGCTAGTCGCCGAGTGCTCTTTTTATGGTAGCTGTTTGCAATGCTACTATCTAGTATTAGAATATAAACTAGATGAACAATCTTATCCTAATAACATGCTGAACTTCTCGCAACTTGTCTTTCGGCATTGATCATATAAACGCTAATTCGGATTTTGGCGGTCATTGACGACCACTTCGGCTGCCTCCGCTTCTTAAAGCACTCAGGCCAGAGCCCATGGAAGGCATAGAGGTTTTCCTTGAATATGTCTAAAACGGTTTCTGCACCACAAACCGAAGTCGAATGTAATTGACTGTGAAGGAACCATCGTGTTGATGCCTTCCAACACCCTCGAGGACGTCAACAGCATGTTTGACAGCTGCATTGCGAGCCTCCACGGTTGGTAAAACCTGAAGGAAAGGCTCACAAAAAAGGCGGATCCTAGAACTTGATTAGCGACTAGTTTCATCAGACACGAAATCACTCGAGTTTATACCATCCTTCAATTCCGCCCTCTTTGTGATCTGTCAGCTTCGTCTGTCTGAGCTCTGCCTCGCCCTTAACCCACTGGAAGCCTTCCCCTTCCAGGAGCTGTTTCATAGCTTCTTGGGAAGGGAACCACCAAGGCGAAGCTGCTCGGGCTTCTTCAACCGGAATTCCTTGAATGACCAGAGCACTGACGATTGCCGCATGCACCTCGGCCACGTTTCCGAGCGCGCCCGATTCACTCACAAAGAATCCCCCTGGCTTGAGCGCATTGAAGCAGCCCTTGATCGCATTAGACCGGGTTTCGGGGTCGCGTAAGATCCAATGTAAGGCAGCGTTAGAGAAGACTTTGTCAAACTTTCCGTCTGTGAGATCTGACACTTGATCCAAGTGTCGGCAGTCCACAACGCGGGATTCAATGTCGGGACATGATCTCTGGAAGTGCTCTATCATATTCGACGAGGCGTCGACGCCAACGATCCGTTTAACATGGGAGGCTAGTTTGGCTGTTAGGACGCCTTCCCCGCAGCCGACATCGAGTACTTCATCTGTTGTGCATTAGCAATGCTAAATTAGATACGCTCTCTATTTCATGCGAAGGAACTTGCCAGTAGGCTTAGGATCGAGCCAGGAAACAATCTTCTCTGTCAAGACTGCAACGAATGGAGCCACTTTTTCGCCGTAAACATCGGCCGACCACATGTCGGCTTTCTGCTCTTGTCCACTCATTTTGGGCTTTCCCTGAAATTAAAGATTAATAAGTGATGATACTCTAATTATGACTCCGAGTACCATAGCCTTTTATAAGTAAATCATCAGGGTGATATCACAATAGAGACCAGGACCGACATCGGAGGGTGTAAGCATTGATAGATCTACAGGGTAGCGGGCGGGATGTTCCCCGCTGGTCGGCCGCTGCTAACCGCAGTCTTACAGGTTACTCCATACGACATGCGTACTGGTTGCAGAGTATTGTCCAGCTGGAATGCATCGCTGTGCGGCCAAGTGAGATTACAGATAGAGTATAGTACCGACACCCCATTATATTAAAGGCCAGTCGGCGGTGACATGATCGCGGTGAAAATAGGTTCTTAACAATGGTTGTTTTCCTACAGACTTCAAAGAGATCGCACGATGTGGTGTCTATTGACAACTTGGCCCAGAGGCAGAAAAGAAAAGTTTGCTCATTTAATCTGAGCAGCAGGATGATTCCACAGCTCTGAGACGTCATACTCTGGAAGTGCCTCAAAATCGCACTCCAGAAGGCGTCTGGTTATAATCACTACTTCCTTCTTGGCCTGCTCCTCCGAGATGTGAATTCCACCCTTGTTCTGTTCCCAGGTGATAGCTTCGATCTTCACGCCACTGTTGCTGCCACCGTCTCTTGGATTCACAACAAGTACATAGAATTCCTTGCCCGTCCCGCTTCGAGCAAAGTGGATGGAGATAGTACCGCTCCGGCTCTGCTCCGTGACCGAGACGCGCCATTTATCTTCCTGATCCTGAGGTTCGAAACCAGCTCTGAGCTTCTCAAAGTCGGCGTCGCTGATACTCAGACCCCACGGTGCTGTGACAGGCTCCTGCATGTCGTATATATGATCTGTGATTGGCTTTGCACATGAGCATGGAAACGCCCGGTGTTGAAACTTGACACGTACCCGTGAGTGCAGTAGGAATAGGTTCTACTAGAAATGATCCACAATTGTAGTTTACAAAAATGCAGATCTACCATACTAAATCCCCCTTCCGCAGATCAACGTCGTCTGTGACAACATCTGGGATGTAAATAGGCAATCGAAGTTCCTGCAGGGTGAAGCCGTCGTAAGTTTGGCGGCCTAATCTTGTACATACAATGGCGTATAGTGCCACTCGCAGCGGACACTAACCATAAATATCTAATAATTAAATCTCAATAGCCTATCATTCCGCGGAATGCACTTTCATGCTCCTGCAGGAAGCACGATGACGGAGTGAGAACTCTCCCCGATATCGGGCCAGGTGCTAGCCCTAACTAACCTTCGACTTTTCTTCATAGTGCCTCTTATGCTGGTAAATATTCTGTCTAGGGACTGTTTCTCGTTCTTATATTACCAACTCAAGAGGTGGCATCAATTTCCTCTTGCTAAATAAGATCTTTGGATTCTTCATAGTATATGGATGCCCTCAGCTGGTAAGATGGTTCGGTTGCTGAGCGGATTGCAGTTCGACCCGGTACTTTCGTGTCGTTTGTTGTTTGGAATTGGCTTGATATATCTATTGGAATCGCCTACATGAGCTTTATACTATCTGGCAGCATATGCTGCATCGGACGTCAATAGTTGCGGAATATTCCTCGATTTCTGAGATTGTGTAATGCTTTGCGGTTCTTGCTGGGTCAAGTAGAAACCACTTACCGAAACCATAATCGATTCACCATTAATCAGAGTCCAGTGAATTACTTATACAGTTTCACTTGGAAAGATATATAGAAAGGGAGTACTGACTAGGTGATAACCCCGTCAAATCACCTTGCTTAATAGCTCTGGAGGTGTCTTGAACTAAGATCCGTACGTTGTATGATTAACTATGCGTCGGCTATGTTGAAATGGTTCACTATAGTATATTCAGGGCCTGACTTCGTGATAAAAGCTAAATTTTTCTAACTAGAGCTTGGCGACTCTTAAAAAACTCAGCTGGGTGTGATAGAGTTTTTGCTAATATGGCTGTATATACCTTCATGACGTGCGAAATTGGAGCAACCACCACCCATTTAACCCGTGGGATTAAAGAGCTGCTGTTGGAGGTAAATATGCATATTCCTTTTAGCCAGAGACCAAACAGTCACTTCGGGATCTTTATGAATCATCTCGAATCAATTACTAAATATTTTGCACTTCATATCATATGTACGCTTGGCAGGGTTGCTCAAGAGAACAGAGCCGACGCCCTGGCATAGCTCAACAGCCCCAAAACAAAATAACGCAGTGAGCAATATACGAGCATAGGTCAGACCTTCCGGGGTTGTGGAGGTTTTCTGGGGTACTGTACCGCAGGTCCGCAGCCAAGATTAATAGCTATTTAGTCGACGGCATAATTTCTCCACCAATTCGAGGCCAAGCTGTGGAGACGGAAGCACGGCTAGTACATGGCTTCTTAGCAATTCAACGTCAATTTCTCCGAGCAGTGGGTCTATGGAACTGCTATTTGGGGTCATATCGTAACAAGTAAAGACAATCCAATGCTTCGCACAGCGGTTTACCCCATTCGAGTGAGGATATAAAGACCAACGGCCCGGCAGGATGGGCATATAGTCTTCCTCTAATATCTTTGTCAGTGATTATTGTCCCTCTAAACAGCATACACTATGCTAATCCCCAAGACAGCCTTTCTGGCTTTCCTCCTTTCTTCTGTGCCCCTGGCGCACGGCGCAGGAGGAAATAGCTCTTCACCCGACACCCGAGGCCGTCATTGTGTGGTACGCTCTTCCAATGGCACTGCAGACGACTCCCCCGAAGTGTCTAGAGTATTCGCGCAATGCGCGACCAATTCAGTCATTGTCTTCCAGGAAGGCGTTGACTATAACATTTTCCAGCCGATCAAGGCCACAAACCTGAGCAACGTGGAGATACAGATGCATGGAAACCTGCATCTTCCGCAAAACATCTCCGCAGTGCGGGACATCGTTAATGCAGGCACCACTACTTGGTTTACTTTGGAAGGACCCCGTGTGGATTGGACTGGGCCCGAAAATGTGAACAATGGTTGGATTAAATCATACGGCCAGGCCTGGTGGGACGCAAACCCTGCCAATGGCACTGGAATCTCCGGCCGCCCTCATCTCATGAGCTACAAAACCAGCCAGGCGTCGATAAAATACTTCAGATCTGGCAAGCCGATTGCTTGGAACATGAAGCTCCATGGCGAAGATATCACCGTCAGCCATGCCATTGTGGACGCTTCATCCACTGGCAGCTTCCCATTCAACACCGATGCGTTTGACGTGCAGGGTACCAATATCCGCATTTCTGACAGCGTTATGTATAATGGCGACGATGCGATCGCAGTCGGATCCGATTCACACAACATTATATTCGAGAGAAATACGATTGGCTACCAATCCCATGGTATGAGCATCGGATCACTAGGAAAGGATCCCTCGGACATTGTCAACATCACCAACCTCAGATTCGAGGACGTGACTGTGATCGACGCTCTGTACGCTGCTCGCTTCAAGTCCTGGACGGGTGGCCAGGGGCTCGTCAAGAATGTGACTTGGAAAAACATCCGTGTATACAACGTAACATTCCCGATCTTTGTAACCCAGAGTTACTACGATCAGAGCGTCTCACGAGATGGTGCTGATGCCGAGTCCTCGGTGATGATGGAGGACTTTACCTGGGAAGACTTTTCTGGCTCAATCAACTCGTATCAACCCGGTGATGGATCATGCGCAACCGATCCTTGCTGGTATAACGCCGGACTTCCGAACTTGAAGCACACGGAGGCAGTCATCATAGAGTGCAACACGGACAAGTCCTGTAAGAACTTTGTTACAAAGAACATCCAGCTCTATCCACAGGCTCTGGAACCAGCGAGCGTCATCTGCATGAAGGCTACGGCAGAGCTGAATCCAAACCTGGGGTTCAGCTGCAGCAATGGGACATTTACTTCGGCATAACCTCTCGATATTCATAGTCATTGAGAATTCATGTATATAGATAAATATGCTTTCTACAGCTGTCAATCGGTCGCCAGTACGCACTGTGGCCGTGGCTTGAGTTGTGCTTTCCCAGAAAGTCGGATGCAGCCCGCGACTTCCCTCCATGACATACATGTAGCCAGTACTTAATATCCTCTCGAATCTCATATTCTCACAATTCAACCATCTCTTTCTTATCATCATCTGTCATTTACTTTTCTAACAGTCGCTACTACCACAACCATTCGTCGTTCTTATCTTACTCTCAGCCATATTACTTACTTCATGCTACAGCCGTATCCCAGGTTCTATATCATTAGACCTCAAGGTTCATTTGTGCCCTTGATCCCAGTCGACGAGCTACCGACGTGGATTCAAGTTGGAAACTGGGACTGGAACGATACGTCATTGTTCACTGTCATGGCCCCTGCTAGTTTCAGCTCTATCCCACGCGTCGGCGAATACGACGTCGTCTGCCACCACTGCAACGCCAGTCTCGATGGTCTTCATCGAAGCGTCTCGGAGCAGAGTGGAAAGACTGGAAACAGCTCTCAGTACCCTCCCTTACCACTTACGAAACTAAACAAGACCTACGCCGGTGCATTTCTCTCACAGTCATCACAGGAGGCGCTTTCTCCTCTGGCCTCAAGCTATCTAATGTCCTTGAAACAGCCGCTCTTTTACACACCTGGATACCCTGCATGTTTCACAGAACCCCCTTATTATGCGAATCTGCAGAGCCCTTTTGTTGGAATGTGTTTCATTAAAGGCTGCTACAAAAGGGGTCGAGACCAGGCCAAGGAATCGATAGCTTTGAGAAAAATACGTAAACAACAGGGCCAGACTGGTGAAAACCTACTCGCTGATGAGTTTCCTGAGGATCCTCAGAATCCTCCAGCTCCTCCCAATTTGCCAAGTGCTTCAACTTCTCAAAACCCTGGGGCTGGTCCGAGTGGTCCGAGTCAAAACCAGAATAATCCTGCGTATGACCCCGACGAGATCACAGAGATTCCCGCCGATGTAGGCAATGCATCTAGTGCACAGCTGTTGGATGATGAGATTCAGGAAACGGGAGGAAGTCTTACCCCAGCATCCCCGGCGGAGTCCAAGACGAACAAGTTCAAGCGATGGAGATCCAAGCGACAGGAGTCCAAGAAACAGGATTCCAAGAAACAGGAGTCCAAGCAACAGGAGTCAAAGCAACAGGAGCCCCCTCGTCTAGGTAAACAGGCAGTACAACGAACTCCTGTACAGGAGTCCTCATCGAAGTCTAAGCCACAGGAGCCCAATCAGCCTGTTAGTAAAGAAACTCAACCGGTTCCTATACCACAAAAGTCCCCGTTGAGGTCAGCGCCACAGGAGCCCGATCATCCGGGCAGACAGGAAGTGCAACGAGCTCCTGTACCAGGGGTTCCAGTCAGTTCTAAGCCACAGAATCCCGCTAGAGAGGAACCGCAAGTTTCTATACCACCAAAGTTCCCGTTGAGGTCCGCGCCACAAGAGCACGACCATCCTGCTCAGCAGGGAACACAGCCAATTCCTATACCAGGGGCCTCATCGAGGTCCAATCTACATGAATCCAATCCCCATCCTAGGCATAAGACGGACTCGCCCCCAGACAAACACGAGGAGCTCCCGACATTTCCCGTTGACCAGTCGCTCATTTTTCCACACTCACCCTCCGACACTAGTCTGGATAGTAGATTGAGAGTAGGTACTCAATCTGCTCGATACGAGGATATGGACCTGTATGACATCTCACGTCGCTCATGTGAGGCTTCACCTCAACCCATAAATTCGCCGTTGCGACAAGCATCTCCAAAAAGACGTTAGAAGGCGAGGGGGTTCAAGCCATTTTCAATGTTCTGACGTAGGGAAAATCTACACAGGTTGTGTTGGAATTACGCA